TTGTTATAGTTGCAATTATTGTTTAAGCTGGTACCATGCTAGTACCACTGCCAACACTAAATTGCACTCATATACTTGTGACTATTAGTACGCATCAACAAGAAGACAAACAGAACTTGAATTTGTTATGTCACTGGATGATTGAAAGTAATTCTACTGCAATCCATTCCGTCGACGTAAAAAAAATTCCAGAGGATACAATGCGAATGATGTCACATGAAAGTGAACGGTGTTACCTCACGTTGTTTGCAAGCTACTTCCGCGACGGAAATAGCGGGCAGTATCGATGCATTTAAAGTTTCGAGGGTGGCCAAATTTCCATGACGAATTCATTTTCAGCGAAGGGCTCCAATGGTCGAATCGCCAGCTGCGCGGCTCGTTGGTCGAGGAGTTAAGGGTACGCGAAGGTGCTCATGACGGAGGGGCCAAGGGGGGCCACAGGTGCATCGCACTCGCACGCCCTCCTTTATTACGTTCCTCCGCGTCGGCCGTTCTCTCTTTTCCGTGTCTCTCGCTTCAACTTGAAGCAACCCTGCTCGTTAGTAACGGACTCACGACGTAGCATGCTATCTACCGCTGTGCATTATCCTAAATTCTCGATTATGTACTTATACGAGACGTGCGAGGGAGTTTGTTGAGATAACAAGCGTCCGTAATGAATGCTGTAGACATTTCCTGTTCTTCCTAATTTGACAACTTTAAAGCTTATTCAGTCATGAAGCGCACAGTAATTTATCACTGTGATTCTTTTTCGCAATTAGTTCCTGTGAACTGACTAATTTGGTACAAAGATATCTGATGTATCCCAATAATGTTTGTATTTTAGTACTACTTGAAATTATTCACTATTTATTGACTTCCCTGTACAGCGTTGGGAAATTAAATTTAGTAATATACTCTTTCTCATAGTAAATGCATAGAAAGTTTTTTTTAACTAAATAAATTAATCGATTCCCATTGGCAGTTCTTAATGGCACACCCTAAATCATTATTGATGTATGATTTCTTTATAAAGAGCTGACTTAAAAAAAAACTGTTTCTCTTGCTGATGCGTCCATAACGAATGTTTCTCATCAAGATCAGATGCGAAAAACTAGCAAGACGAGAAATGAAATGCTAGTTCTGCCGTTTCTTCTTTCATCTTGTTCCTCCTCCCTCGACTTCTTGCTCGATCTGCGGCCTTTCTGTTCTCTCTCGTTTCCTTCGATTATCTCCTGTTCGTTTCTCCCGGCCAATCTCTCCGCGTCCATTCTGTTCGTCCACCTAATTGTCTCTACTTTCCACCGTTCCATCGGTCCATTCTGTGAAATGATCGTTCTCGATGGATCCTTTTCCTCGCATGTACAGTCGTTAACTCAGCTGGTTCATCGCCGACTCTGACTTATTGTACGCGTACAATGCGTCCGTTCGCCATAAGCCGTGCCGCACGTAAACGACGTCTTCCGCGAATCGCGTGCACCGGTGGCGTTCCCTTCCGGTGACGTACATTGAAAAATCTCTGCTAACGACTCGCAAGCAATTGGATGTATTACAAAATATCTGAACCTAACGGTGTTCATAGTACACCTTATTTTAGTCTTCATTTAGTAACGCGTTTCAGGATAGACTGTATTAACTATAATCTTAATGGTCCTCAGTAATGAGAAGCAAAGTAATTAAGCTTGTGTACAATTAAAAAAACTAGTAATCTCAACTCTATTATCTTCTCCATTATTGAAATGAGAAAATATACAGGGTGTCTCAGTATTGATGGTGCAACTGTGGAGGGTTTGATTATGCATGCAAAAATAAATTGAAAGTATGGAATAATTTTTTTTTATCAATACTGGGACATCCTATATAGTGATCGTCTTCTCGATGCCTTATTTATTTTTTCTGATCCTTCTCATTGCACATTGCGTGAAAGGCATCTCCTGGATATCCTTGTATCCGAAAAGGGATCTCTGAGGAGCTTCTTGAATTTCACAACAAATAACCAGGAAATTGGGTTTCCAAGGCCGAGGCCTAACGTAAGGTGATACAGTTAGGGTATATTCGTGAGGGGGTCGTGAATGCCGGCACATGGCTCGTGCAGGTGTCTCTGCGTTGATCCCTCCAGTGTTACGGCAAAAACTGGGTAGTTCCTGTCCCGCCCTGAGAGTAAATTTCACACCAGTCGACTTCGTTGTTTTCTTCATCTAAGCTTCCTCTTCATCGATTATCTGAGCTATGCCAATGTCAAAGAATTACATAATGGAGTGAACGTAAACCAGGAAATCAATTGGAAAATGTGGTCGTAATAAACCTGTCATATTTTAGTGTTACGGAGTGTCGATGAGTTCGAGGTTTGATTATTATTATGTTTTTCATGTGTTTCAGCCAAGATGAAACATCTTTGGCCGTTGGTGGCGTGGATACTTCTATCCTTGTGTCCAGTAAGCGTTGATTCATTATACATTCTAAATGCTAATAATTTAAGCAGCATAATCACGATCGAATAAATCACAGGCCGAATCCTTGCGAGGATTTGGTCACGGACCGAGGAGGGAAGTGTTCTTTCTCAACCTCGAGGATGGCTACTTCGGCTGTCAGGTAAACGAGTCGACGGACATCCTACAGCTCCTCGAATTATCCAAACTGTGCGACAACCACGTCGACTGCTACCAAGGCACAGACGAGCAACGCGACAGACTAAAGTGCACAGGTATGTATCTAAGGTGTCTCATCTTTCACGAGTACGGAAAAAGCAAGGCGGAAAAACAATGCCGTAACCAGTCTTCAGGAAAAAAAGGAGAGGATCTGTGTTCCATCACGACACGGTCGCGCTACCGTTACAATCTCCGTCGTTCCTTTACGTCATCCTGTTGTTCTCGGCAACGATTACTCGAAGTAAGCAAGCGATTCTCGCGCGTAACGTCATCAGCAATTACCGCGAGTCTGTCGTCGCGTTTCTGCTCCATCGAGCCGTTCTTCCGTCGATCGTTATTGATATTTCTCATTACCATTCCTCGTGTTTCGCACGGGACGCGCCGCGCCGTTTCGTTCCGGCAATGATGATCAGCGTTACGCAAGGAACGAATTACTCATCGTAATCGACGTTCTTATCGCGGCACGCACGTTGCCGCTGTTTTCTCACCGGATGACTAAGGGAGATCGCCAGTTACCCACGACGAATCGATGATGATCGAATTGATTTTTGTTTTTCACAGACGACTGCACAAAGGAGGACGGGACCAAGTGTCTGAACGGCGTCTGTTTGGACTCCGTCTGCCATTGTAACGACGGTTTCGGCGGGTGCAATTGTCAGGTACCAGGTGAGTAGCTCATATAATTTATTAAGAGACTGTAAGGTAATCACGCGACTTCTCTAACATTTATCAGTATAATTTTCACGTCTTTTGCTCTGTTTTATCCATGACGAGATATAGATAGTGCAAAATATGTAATCTTTCTGAAAAATTAAATTTGCATCTAAGAGAAATTTGCATCTATAAGAATTTAAACCGGATCTTATTTTTCAATGCTTGAAGAATATAAAACAATTTTTCAAGTGCTAGTAATTTAAAGTCTTCATTATGGAACTTTAAAGAGGTGTTAAGGGTTAACATCTGTTCACGTCCGTGTTTAATGCAAATTGCAGACGAGAACGAGTGCAAGTACCGACCCTGTGATATATTCGCGCACTGCACGAACACCCTGGGTAGCTTCCAATGTTCCTGTTTCCCCGGCTACCAAGGCGATGGTTTCCATTGCGAAGGTATGCGGAACGCATCATTCTTTCTAGCAGTCCATCCGTCACGTCTCTTCCTCTTTTCTGATGGTTTTATTATTCCACAGACATCAACGAGTGCGATAACCCGGTTTTCGCTGCTAGATGCGTCGAGAACGCGGAGTGTTGCAATCTTCCGTCGAATTTTCTATGCAAATGCAAGTCCGGTTACATTGGCGACGGCGAGGTGCACTGCGAAGACGTGAACGAGTGCGCGATCGCTGGCGCGTGCGGCGACAATACTATCTGTCATAACACGCCGGGCAATTATACTTGTACCTGTCAGCAAGGCTACACGGGAGACCCGTACGAAACTGTGCGTATCTTTCTATTAATTAGTCGTGTTTACAAATCAATTAAATTAATGACCCATTCTTTATAATCAGTTCCCAAATTAAACAATTCTTTCATTTAATCTCAATCAATATTAAAGTACATCGCCAAATTATATTTGAATCCTCACAATAATTGTATATTATACAGTGTATCCTATAATCTCATAATTAATCAAATCAATTGTTTATTCTATATAATCAGTTCCCACATTAAATTACTTATTTAAGAAATCAACATACACTGTCAAGTCATATTTAAATCTTAATTGTACATTTTATGGGAGGTTCAGGATCTCATTATACTGAAACTATTAAAAATCAGATTAATACTATAATTAATTCGAAGTGGATTTTGATTATGTACAGTGTATCGATTTCAACGAATGCGAATACGCGGGTGCCTGCGGACGGAACGCCCTGTGTGTGAATATAGCGGGTGGTCACAAGTGCCAGTGTCCCGAGGGCTATAACGGCGACCCGGAGGTAGAATGCGAGGACGTCGACGAATGTGCGCGCAACCCTTGCGGTCGTTCAGCTCACTGCACAAACGTGCACGGCAGTTTCCGCTGCTCCTGCCCGGAAGGAATGAGCGGCGATCCTTGGGTAGGCTGCCACGGTACGTGATCTCCGTCCCTAATTATCCGAGACCCCCTTATTATATTACTAGCTTTAATTGAATCTTGTGCACTTAAAACATGTCCTTGTCCTGCAGCTTGTTACGTAATAATTATTCAGTCATCATAGTTATAATTTATGTAATAATTATTCATTTACATCATGTTCATTTAATAATTACTAT